AACTCAAATTAGACTTTTAATTAAGTTCAACTTTTAAATTAAATTTTTAATTAATTCCAAGTTTAATTTAAATTTAAATTAAAATATCTGTTAAAATTTTTTAGTAAATGCTAAAACTCTGTTAAAATTTTATTAAATTTAAAATATATTATATAAAATTTTTTTAAATCTTTAATTAATATTAGTATATAATTTATTAGAACTATATTAAAATACTTTTAGAAAAATTTTGGCAAGTATTCTTAACTTGAACTAAATTAAATTTTTTAAAGTAATTTTTAAAAATTCAAATTATATAATAATTTTTGATTATTAATAATAATGATTAATTAAATTATAAAATTAATATATAATACAAAAATTCAAAAATAAAAATATATTTTGAAAAAAATTATATTTTAAAATTTAATTTATAAAATTAATTTTTAAAATAATCTTAATTATAATTCAAATTTAAATTTAATTTTAACTTTAACTTTTTTATATTATTTATTAAAAAATTATTATTTAATTATAATATGATAATTATTTAAACAATTTTAAATTTTTTAAAACTTTATAAACAAGTATTTAATAATTTGATAAATATTAAATAACAAAAAATTAGTACTTTAAAAATTATATTATTATAATATAAAATTTGATATATTATATAATTATTTTATATAATTATAATTAAATAATTAATTTATATATGATTTATAAATTACATTCTCTTTTATTTATATTATTTACTTTTATTTTATATTATTCATAAATTATTCATACTATTTTAATTTATTTTATATTATTCTTAATAATTTTATATTAAATAAAAACAATATATTATTTGATTAATATTATTTAATTTGATTAATATTAATTATAAATTATATGTAATATTAAAGTAAATAATATATAATCAAGTAAGTGAGCAAACAAAATGAACAAGTACTTTTTATATAATATTATTATTAATTAAATTTAGTTTTAAATCTTAATAATTGAGTAAAAAAATAACTTATATAAATATAATTTGTATTTTAACTTTAAAAAATAAGTTTTAAAGAAGTAGTTTTATTTTTAATTATTTTATATTTCTTTTAATAATTTCTTAAATATTTTCTTATAACTTTTCATTTTAATTATTAAGTTATTATTATTATTTAATTTATAACTTCTTATTTATATTATAAAATTATACTTTTTATAATATTTATAATTGATTTTTTATCTATATTATAAAATTAATAATATATAATCGAATTAATAAAAAGAATTTATATTATATTTATTTATAAATTACTATAAAAAAATATAACTATCTTTAAATATTTCTAATTTTATTCTAGCTAATTATAAACAAATATATATTATCTATCTTTAAATATTTGTATTCTCTCCTTACTTGAAATTATATCTTATAAACTCTTTTACTTAATATAATATTATGTATTATTCACATATTCTTCTATAACAAAGTTTAAATCATATAAAATAATAATAATATTATGATAAATATTAATATTCTTAATATAAAAATATATATAATCTGATTTTTTTATAATTATATTCTTAGAATATGAAAAATTGTAATTATAAAAAGATTGTAACTATATAAAAATCAAATTACTTATGTTTTATAATATATTAAGAACTGAAAAATATAACTATATTAATTTTATAATTATATAAAAGATAAATATATTATATAAAAATTGATTATAATTAATTAAAAAATATATTTATTTAGAAATTATTATATTATAATAAAAAATAAATTTTATAAATATTAAAATATTTATTTATTTTTTAAATTTTTAATAAATAGAAATTTTTTTCTAAAATTTGAATTTATAAAAAACTTGAAATTATAAATAATTTATAGTTTTATAACTAAAAAATATATATTATATAGTATATAAAATCTAAAGTTATCAAATATTTATATTTTATAAAATATATAAACTTTTTTATTTATAAACTTTTTTATTAATAAATAAATATAAAATTTAATTAATAAATATAATAAAATAGATTTTTTGAATATATTTACAAATTAAATTTTGCATTTATTTTTTAATATAGAAATTTATATATTTTATAAAGTATAAATATTTGATACTTGAAAAAAATATATTTATAAAACTAAATCAAGAATTTTTTGAAAGATTTCTAAAATAATAAATATTATTTTATATAGTTTTTTTATATTTTAAAATCTTTAACTAAATTAAAATTAGTAATATTAATACTATAAAACAATTTATTAAATTTGTTTAATAATAAATATATATTAAATTAAAATAATTATATATTATACTTATATATATTTAATATAAAGTTTTTATTTAATTATATTATTAATTAATAAAATCAATAAAAAACTATTTTATATTAAATTTAAATATTTATAAATTGAATTTAAATAAAAATCTGATAAAAAACTATTTTTTAAAATAATTATAAAATAAATTTAAATAAAACTAATAAAAATCTAGTAAAATTATTTTTATAATTATATAGTCAAATCTCTCTATAATTACATCTATTTATAGTCATATCACACTATACTCACTTTATTTTGCTTTCCTATTTATATATAAACATAGTAAAAAAACTCTTTTATAGTCATATTCTCTCTATAATTACCAAATTTTGTTTTTCTGAGAGTGATAACTATAGAAAGATTTGATTGTATATTAAATTTAAACAAAAACTTAATATAAATATGTTTTTAACTAATTATAAAAATAATTTTTTGCTGAATTTGAACAAAAAACTAGATTTTGATAAATTTTTGCAATTTTTTTACTAAATAAACATTATAATATTAAATTTATGTTGAATTTTAATTTTATTACTTAAAAAATCATTGCTAATAATATAATCAAAGATTCAAATATTAATAATTAAATTAATAAAAACAATTTTAACTTTTACTTTGTATTAGACTAAAATAATATTTTGTATAATTAAATAAATTCTGAATAAAATATTTTATTATTTTATATTTGATAATTTCTTGTAGTATATTGTTAACAAGTATTCAAATTTTATAATTTATTATAATATTAAAATAAATATTTTATTTTATTGCAGTTGTAACAAGTTGAAAATTAATAATTATTATTTTTAGATTAATATGAAGTTTTTCTAGGTATTCTAATTTATTAATTAGATTTGGAAATATTGTTGACAGCTGATGATAAGTTAGAGTGAACTTTTTAGATTAGCTTTTTAATAGTTTTAGTCATATAGTTAAATTTCTCTATAGTTATCATTTAGAAAAGCAAAATTAGTAACTATAGAGAGAATATAACTATAAAGAGATTTTTTTACTATATTTATATATAAATAGAAAAGCAAGGTAAAATAACTATAGAAAGAACATATTTGTTTAAATTTAAATCAAATTTCGGGTACTCCAAGTTTTCTCATCCAATAAAAAAAAGGGTACTTGGTGATATAAAGTCCAATCCAATTGATTTTTGGTGCTTAACCAAATACAAAGATATTTCAATTAAATGCTAACATTTGATTGAAGTTTATTTCTTTTCTTTTTTTATACGCATACACAGTATTTATTAAAACAATTTAATGAAGAAATATTGTCAACAAATCAAAGAAAATCAAGCGATAATTTTGCAGTGAATGCGATTAGGTAGCAATAGAAGTCGGCTTATTTCAGATGCTGAACTCAATCTGAATAAAGCATTCGGCTTAGCAAGAGTTTGCCTAAAATACGTCTTTAAATTTTGGATATCCAGTATTTTGATTTGTATTTGACGATACAAATTTGATTTTTATTGGATGACATATACTGTATTCTTAAGACTCTAATATATAGCAACAAAATGCTAAGCATCAATAAAAATTTTGCAATCTATAATTGGTCCTGTCAGTTAGGCAAGAGTAATTATTCGTCTTTGCGGCTTTCTTTCGAATAGTATATCTATTAAACAGTTTTATAATCAATACCTTTCTAATAGAGAATTCGAATTTTAAAAGCAGCAACTTCAATTCTCTTTAGAATACAGAAAAATCACGATCTTTTGCATGCATGTAATGTAAGGGCTTTGATAATATTAACATTAGTCTTCGTTCAACGATTTACCTGACTAGCTCATATATGGCAAACTTTTGACTACAGGAAGTGAACTATAGACGTATATATATACATATATCCAATGAGCGGACTTTACGCGTAAATAGCTTCAAGACTTTTTAGGTTATGAAAAAGAAATACGTAGTGCGAATGCTGTATACCTTTGTTTTTCTTTGTCTGCATTAAATTTTTAATATCGTATAAAACGGGAACATAAGAACGATAAGCTTTGTCTGCCAAGTTGCAAATCACCACACGTTTTGTGCACATCAAATTGAATGAATGCAAATACATAACGATAACCTAATACTAATGTTATTCCTGTTTTCCAAATTTGGCATGCTCACACATGCGTAAATTGTACACAAAGTTTTCGATTATCGAAACAGATTGCTAAGATTTGTAGATCGATAAATAATCAGATAGAACATGTATTTGAATACAAAAACATTGTATTTACCGTACTTGACGTTTAATTTTTTATTAATTTGTAATAGATAAATTGTTCCATATATCAAAATAGTAAAAACTAGGTTAACGTGATTATTGTTAAACTCTATGCTACTTACAGAGGTGGTTGGTGGTATTGTGGTTAATGAAACGGAGTTATAATTGAAGCAACAGTATGCTTAGTTGTTGCTTAATAACAATTTGTTTTCAGAAAAATAATTTAGAATAAACAAAAAATGCAATGTAGGGAAAGGGAATGCAACGAAAAATTATGATATTGAAGAAATGCTCTAATTTGTAATTTTTTATATTTGTCTAACGAAAAATTTATATGCAAATAATAAGATAAATTGGATGTAAAAAAATACGATAGATGGACGGGGATAAGGTAAATTGATAGGTTAGATTAAATAACAGAACAGAATATAACAGAACAGAACCAATGTATTTTATCCCGCGTGTTTTAACTTTTCTTAAAAGGTAGAAAGAATAAAATTAATGCCAAATAGCATCACGGTGTGCATGATGATGATGATGATGTTGATGATTAGGATGAGGAGGTAAATTAAGGTCAAATTGTGATGCCAATAAAGGCGGTTCTTGAAATGTATTAGTATGAGGATGGTGAGTTGCTGATGTATAGTATGCTTGACCATTTTGAGCAATGGAATACTGATGATGATGTTGTTGATTATTATTACTATTATGTTTATTTTCATATTCAATAACAGAGTGAGGTTCGAATTGGAATTGTTCAAGATTCAATGTGGAAATCTCAAGATTATCGAATTCTGGACTATAAAATGGATTGAATGATTTTTCTGGGGGTGATTGTGGCTGTTGAAAAGTTGGAGGTGAGAATGATCCTGGGGAAGAAGCTTCAAATGATGGACTATTCTTAGATGAAGATTTACTTGCAGTTGTCCATGAAGATCCGTTATAATGACCCCAAAGTGAAGTGTCTACATTACCGTGAAGTAGATTCGTAGATCCAACTACGACTGCAGATTCATCAAATTTCTGAGTCAAATTTAATTTTCTCGATCCTACAACAGATGAATTTAACTTGATGGCAGAAGCCCGCATTTTCGATGATGATTTTTGAATACCACCCGTGACAGTTTTCCCAGGTTTCTTTTTCGGAGAAAATTTGTAATCTGGGTATTTAAGTTGATGCTCGGCTTTTAAGTTTTTCGCCACTTCACGCCAATATTCTTTCACTTCTTCTTTTTCTTTATTCCACTCTTGCGCTGCGAGAACAGAGACAATTTTATTATTCAACCCGGGATTTTGTTGCAAGATTTGATGTTGCATATGTTCACGATATGCCATAAAACAGTTTTTTGGACGTGGAATGTGACCATTTGATCTGCGTTTACGCCATGAACTACTATTTTGATTTTGGGAGAAGGATTCTGATGGTGGAATTGTAATTGGTTTTGTAGTCATTTTTGTCGGGGATATTGGTGATAGTGGAGTTCCAGCGCTAGCAATAAGATTACTATTATCAGAATTGGCAACTGTGCCTCCTTTCGGCACTAAGACTACTTCGTATCCACGTGGAATATGATAAATATCGTAGTCGGATTTTCTTGTTGGCGATGGAGGAGCAGGCGCAATTTGACGTAGTTTTGATGGGGAAGTCGGGGTTGTTGGTATAGAATTTGAGGATGTATTTTTTGTTGCTGATGTTGTTAAAGAAGGTAATTCAAGATGTGCTAATTTGGATTGTAGCGAATTGCCTTTACTCTTGTTGTTGTTGTTGTTGCTGTGATTGTTATTGTTGCTGTGATTGTTATTATTGTTATTATTGTTATTATTGTTATTATTGTTATTGTTGTTATTGTTGTCATTGAAGTTTTTACTATTCTCATCATTATTCAGAACTGGAGACGAAGTCATTTGCGAGTTCAATTTAATGTCTGACATTTCAACGTTTTTTACAAGTCAGATTGTTTGAAGAATAATGGAAGGAGGTTGTGTGTATATCGCTCTTGTAGTCGTCTGTTTGTCTGTCTTGATCGTGGTCGAAGTCGTTGATGTTTTATGAGAATACTAAGCAATGGTAATTATAGTAAATTTTTTTAATGATGACGTTTTTCTCTTTTGCTCGTTGTTGTTATTGTTATCCTATTACTGTACTCTCAGAGAACAGGCTGTTTTCTTTTTTTTCTACTGCTAATGCTGATTTCTTTATTTAGCAAAAGACGAGATGCAAAAAGAAAAAAGTTTTTTTTTTGATTTAAGTTTCGACTAACAGAACTATGTGTATTTGTCTTGGATAAACAACGTCGGTCCATTATATGTAAATTTTAGAAGTTAATTAATAATCGACAGACAACAAAAAATTATAATAAAGAACACTCGCTATTGAAATTATTTATTCTTTCTTCAAACGTATACTTTATTAGTAGTGTACATACATCACCACCACCATCAACAAAGAATAAAATTAGTTTCAAGTATTTGAATTTGTGATGTGTAGCGCATGCATTTTAATCCTGCATATACGCAGATCTTGTCGTTATATTCAATTTATCGTCATTTTTTTATCGTTATAAAGAAGCAATAAAGAGGCAAATTATTTTGCCGCCGAATATGATGGCTATTATTAATATCACCAGCGATCATTAGTTCCAATTACCGCTGTTTAATTTTATGTGCCACGTTATTTTTAGAATCTATGTGGGGATTAGAATTCGAGTTCTGTTTTTATTGTCTGCTTTAGGCAAAAATCCATTATTATTTAATTTGGATTTTGCAAACCATAGTGGAACATTAAAAGAAAAAAAACGTGGCATTTCATCACAACAACGTCATTGATGCTTACTTTTGTGTTTCTGTATGTTCTAATAGCCATGTGGCATATAAGGTTTGTGTTGGTTTTAGAGTTTATTTTTTTTGGTTAGTAATACAGTATTCAGAAACGGTCAGCCGGTACAGATTGACACTTTCTTAAGGCATGTTTTTCTTCTCTATTTGACACAAACTACGTATGTGAACAAGACAAAAACATGTTTTTTAGTTGCGAAGTTTCAAAAATTAATGAAAATATCTATAAATAGTCAAAACGAACTATATCCATATTGATGTGCATCAAGCAACAGACCTGATGCAGTTGATGCAATTGATGCATTTGAATGATCTCAATGCAGATCTCGAATCACGCGAGTATTATCCACGCCGAAAATGTCAAAATTAAAATAAACTATATTCTTATTCAACAAAGGGAGTAGTTTTATGATCGCAATCCGATTTTGATACTAATGCACCCTTTGTTTGATTATGTCTGGGTGCGGGGTAAAAGAGTAAGGTATGTGTACGCGTGGAAGGGTGCTAAATGGTTGACAGGTTTTAATGTAGTCGATCATTTGGCTGTTTCGGATTAATTCGGTTATCGTTCTATACACGATACAATGCTAAATGAAATAAACCGTCCCTCTGATTTTATTTATCAGAAGATGTAAATATCTTCTTGAATTATTTATGTGTGCGAGTGACTAACGCTAAGTTTTAAAAATTACCAAGGAAAAAAAAATCTATGTAATTGATTTTTTGCTATGCGATAATTAGGTTTAAACTATGTTTGCTGTGATTTTTATTGTTGTTTTTCACAAGACCCTGAATATCGAATTTTTAATAAAAATTGCTTCGCATCTCTTCACAGCGTAAAATCTGTTTTTTAAGTTTAATTAAGTTGGTCCAAAAATTCTCTTTGGAATCCCAAACAAAATTTACCACGACGTCATTTGGGTGGTCGGTGCACAAACCAAACATTTGACAGGTTTAATAAATCACACAAACAATTAGAGCTTAACGTTAAGTTGGCAGAGTGAGGAAATTAAATCTTATTTTTTATCGGATGCATACGAAACTCCTTTTAGATAACACGAGTTGACGTATCTAATCTAAAATTGTAAATTATTTATTTCTTTAATATTTTAAGCTTGTAATTATACTGTAAATATTGTAAATAAACAAAAAAAAAACCATTGTTAATTGTTAATTCTTAAGTCATCATCACTGATTCAATTTGAGTCTCCGTCTACAAATAAGACTTTAATTATATTATATATGTATGCACATAATTTTTACACGTGATTCTATTTTAATGGTTTAATAGCAAGTTGATTAAATTAATATAGCAACCTCAAAAAAAACCATCTTGGAGACGAATAGAAATCAAACTGACCAATTTAGGTTTTCTAATAATAAGAAAAAGTACCACCGTATGTAATTGAAGCGCGAGTGTGTATCACAATCACATACGTACAATGTAAATCTGTATGTTGATACTTGATTCTATCCACAAAGAATCTTATTGTGGAGAAATTTCTTTGTTAGAAACTGGTAATAATTTTATCCTTTTGTTTGTTGCTTGGTACTGTATACGTATGTTAATGAACCGTCTCGAGATGCAAAGTCGCATCGTTCGAATAACAAATATTATGATGTCGTGTAAATCAATAAACCAAATCAGGAAAGAAAAGAATCGTAGATTTCATTTTTGCTATGGCGAGATGGTACGTATTGGTATTCGGATAACGTTTTTCAGAAGTTTTTTACTCGTGCTTGGATCTTTTTATTAAGAGAAAGCCACACGGGAAAATATTACGTGTCAAATTGTAACGTTACAAATCTTAATTTAAGAAATTTCCACACTGATAAACAAAGATTTCCTATTAATTTTTCCGGTTGGTTCGCGTGTTGGGATTATCACAACGTTTTTCTAAATTCTTATATTTGTTTGTTAGATTCAGTTACATTTTTTTTTGTCTTCAAACATTGAATATCGGATATTTTGAGAAATCAGGATAAACATATTAAGCGATTAACCAAGAATTTTGTGACAATAACGATAAATGAATGATGCATGCTATGTTAACAAATCAACGGTGTTTTTTCCAGCCCGTTTAAACTGTTTTCCATAAACTCAATGAGTAGTATACAGATGTGGTGGTGTTTAAATATAATAAAAGATGCATATAAATAAATTCTCTGAGAAAAGTTTCGTTTCTCTTGGCTGTGCAAAGAAAATCCCACTTGTGTAATACGTACCAAGATTATTTTATCAATTTAAAATTACTGAGATATTATATTACATTCTAATCCAATCATGTCTCTTTATAAACATTTGTCAGCTGTAAATATTTTTATGTGTTGCAAATTTATGACATTATTTATTGTAATATTACGGCTTGATCATAAGTTTACAATTACAGTAGCAATCGAAGTAATGCAACAAATACAGTAACGGTCATTCAAATTATATCGATATATGTAATAAATATGATACATCAATAGTTTCATTTCTAATTACCTCCAATTTCAAGATACAGTGAAACCCCTTCACGTAAATTTGATTGCTGTAGAGGAGCGTGACTGTAAAAAGTATAGTTACTTAATACACAGTTAAACCGAAGTGGCAGAAAATTTTAAAAATTCAATTTATCGAGGTTTATTTAGTAAATTTGATTTGCCTAAACTAACTTATATTTATCGAGGTGGCTTTACTATAACTGTTTCTGGAACAAATTTTTGTTTATACAAGTTCTAATTAGTACTTCGATGCGACCTAAAATGCAAAACAATGTTCCTGAATGGTGCAAATTTATTATTGGGGTCCTATTCCAAAAACGCGTACAGTGCTCTATAGATCATGTGTAATGGACCAAAATTTTCCGAGTCAAAGAACGTTATACCGATACGTACAGTGCACCTCCATAACTTTCCGAAAATCATGTCTAACGTTATGAAAATTTCCGGATACAGAGAACATTATAAATGTTGGCTTTTACAGATTGGTAGAGCTTCTATATCGGGTATTGTATATTCATACATTTTCATGCTCTAAATACAATAAATCGGTCAATTTTTCATTATACATGTTCATGTAAATTGATCACCAGAAAAATGAATCGGTCAAATTAGAATGTAATATCTCGATCTCCAGTGATCCGATTTGAACAAAAATATTACCATTTGATTCATCTCGACTAGGCGAATTGAATGATAGTATTTTTGCTCAGATCGGATCACTGGATGTCAATAATTAGATTATTGGATATTGAGATGTGTGTTAAGAAATAACTGATTATATTTTGAACGAAAATCGTGTTTCCCGACAAATATACCAGCTACCTTTTTTTTTTTTTGGGTAAGTTAAACAAATAAGGATACGCAAATTTTTTATCAGCCCGGCAAAATCATAATGTACTCTAACAGCACCCGAAAATTCTGCGTTAATTAAAGGTTAATTATAAGGTCAGTATTAAGGTTAGGGCTAGAGTGGAAATAAAGATTGTACAGTGCAGGTCATAAGTAACCCATCCCCTCTAAATCATCCAAAAATAAAATATATAGCATATTTTTTTATTTTAAAGTATATTATTAATCCTGATCCTTAAATACTCTATAAAATATTTTTCGGAAATTTTCCGGAATTAATTATTCTAGAATTGTTCCAAGAATTTGATAGAGACGCTGGAAAAGTTCCAGTGCCAACAACTGGATAAAAACCAGAAATTCTTCTGAGTAAAAATCAGAACTTGATTTTTTATAGGGTTATAATTTTTTTAAAAAAAAACAAAGAAATGCCAAATTATATTCAGTATTTAATCCAAAAACCAAAAACTGAATTTAAATATCATGAATTAATAATAGTTAACTCATTTATTAAATCAAATCCAAATTAATCTATGTAAGTACGTACACTGCAAATATTAAATCTGTGTACAATTTAATACTAAATCCAGACCAAACTGTTAAAAAACGTGGAACGATTTTTTTACGAATTGGATTCCGGAAATATTCGAATATGACTGTATTTGAAATTCCAACTTCTATCAATGAAGGATCAATTAGCTTGGAGTAATATCAGGATATGTAGTCAAAAGTTTTCTAATCAAATATGATAAAAATTAAACGTATCTCCCTCGTAAAATACTTTCTGGTTTATACGTATACAGATATTTTTATGATGCATATTTTTATTTATAGATTTGCATCACTTGAATTAACAATACGTAAATAATTTTATCTATAGATGTCATTTGAAAATGAACAATTATTTAACCCCAGCTATCTCACTATACATACCGATAATATTAGTGTAGGAAATTAGACTGTCAAGCGGAACACTACCAAAAAACAATACCAAAGAGAACCAACCAGCATCAATCGTTCTACTTACCGATCACTTGCAGAACGATATATAATTGTGCCGAGTTTAGGAAAGCAATTCTGTTCTTTTCTTATAATTGCCTTATAAATTACTTCAAAAGAACCGACTTAATTTAGAACTATAACGAAACATGTACACTTTCGTACGAATATAGCAGAGAGTCAAATGGTCTTTGAGCTCGAAATGCCATACGCAACAGCAAAAGTTTCGAATGATCTAGCCATTAATATCCCAGTGCCAACACTCAAAGAACTCCTGGAAATCCAAAAGGTGAATAATAGTTCATCGCCGCAAACTTTTTTGGTTGACAATCAAATCAATAAAAGCGCATTTGGGTTGTTTCTACTTGCATTTGGGAACGAAGTTTCTAAGAAAACAAGATTGTCTGCAAAATTGTGGGGTGAATTTGCAGCGGTTGGAAGGGAAACTTGGGGAAATGCAGATGAGCATATCGAGATGCTTTTGATAAATTTTTTGTTGAACTAAAGTCTCATGATGAATAGTTTTTTAAAAGAATAGTCAACACTTTTGATTATAAAAAATTTTTAAGAATAAATTAAATTATTCAGTTCTTTTGTTTAATTAAAAGAGATATTCATTACTTGTAAAGATTATGTTGGTGTCTCAATCCATAAATATTGGTGTAACAATCACGAGAATATTTACGTATTGTGAAAATTTGCAATATCTATTATAATAAACTATGAATAACAATTATACTCATAAATTTAAATAGTAGTTAGCAATATAAATATTATTGCAAATTAATTATGCATTATCATTATTTTCAAAATATTGCTCTTTTATTATAAGAAATCATCGATAATTCTGGCCAAATGATCTCATGATCTGCACAATTTTGGCCAAAACTTTCACCATAATCCGTTTTTCATCATGATCCCCAAATTTATTGACTGTGAATTCGTGTTAAGAAAAATAGCATAACGATGAATTTAGATAAGCCAGCCAGTAAAACAAAGAAATTGTATATTTCATCTAAAAAACAATAAGTTATTTTAATGTGAATATTGTTTATAGGTTAAAAAGTAGAATGATTAAAATTCTATATCGACCAACTGGAGAAGCTCTTGTTTGTGAAAGACTATGATGACCTTGTTTTCTCACGGAATTGATCACGGAACTAGGAAGTATATCAACGTGAAGAAAATATAAAAAAGAGCCAAATAAATGCGCGTATACTCACGTCATTAATGCAATCAACATATTTTGCATAATTGTCACAAGAAGGATGCTCCCTAACAAAGAGATGACATAAATTGGCCAAAAATCCCATCGATCTAGCTGATCCCAATGTCCGTTCACCCAAAAATAAACAACTTCGAGAGATCTCAAGAAAGAAGAATAATAATTGTCATTCAGATTGTATGGGTCAATTTCCTGTTCTACATTGATACTTGAGGAGGTTGAGCTATTGAATGATTGGCCATTAGGATAAATTCCAAGTTTCGGAGCATAATGAAGTAACAAGTACCTAAAGAAAAACGGACTTATAACTTTAAATTGAAAAAACATAGAAATTTAAAAAAGTAAATATCTTCTTACATTGAATATGCAAATGATGCTACGATAAAAGCTTGCGTGATGAAACCCTTCCAAAAATATCAACTATGATATAAATATATATGCCAAATTCTAATCAAATAAATTGCTATTAATAATTTTCATCGCAGACATTAAACAACGATAATAAACCTTAAAAAAACTCACCGCCAATAAATCTTAAACGCAAAATCTAAGTATTGAATTAAGAATTAGTAAATAAATATTCGCAATAAATCAATTTACATTAACTTACCAATTGAATACAAAAAATCAAAGAAGTAAAAGAAAAGAAAATGACTTCACTCCGACAACGTGATTGGTTATCAATGCATGTTTCACCAGATAGTGGTAGCACTAGCGGAGTTGAAAGAGGCAAAATGCGCGTTAAGAAATCAAAAACGGAATATAGAGAGGTAAAATAATGGCGTCGTAACTGAACTATTCTTCTGGATTCAATGAAGAACACATATAAGCTAAATATCGAAAAATAGGCAACCAAAATGATGTTAAAAAACCCAAAAATACAGTTATTGTTTCGTTCCAACTTATAAACAATTTTATCTAAAAGTATTTTTGCCCCAATCAAAAAGCCACCAAATAAATCCAATATAAAGCAGACTTGAATGAAAATAAAAAATAAGTTCTAGTGTTCCATTCGTGGTAAATAACTGCTTCCATTGCCGGATTGCAAAAATGTTTCTCTTCGGTTTATTATAAATTAAGTGACAAAAGTAATTCGAAGGTGTTAAATCGAAGACGTGCTTTGATTAGCGTACCGTGAAATCTGGCAAAGGAACCAAAAAAATTTGTTTTGACAAATTATATAAATTATTACGTGTAATAAAAGATTTGACTCTTTTAGGATCACGAAATTTTTTAGGTATCATATCTTCACTAGTGTATCGGTATAGTTTTTTGCATCAAATAGATCATTTGAAAATAGATTCGAAACTGAATCTAGTAATAAAAACCAAGATTACGTATTTGATATTCGTTGTAAGATGCTTAAAGGCATGATGGAAACAAACTTACCAAGATATTTTTGATAAAGAGCTGGAAGTGCATGTGAAACTGTATGCATCCAGCCAACATTGTTATTGGTACATGTATTCTTCATATAATATCCTTTTGCTCTTCTTTAATCGCGACTGTAATGTCACTAGCATATTCAGTTCTCAATGAATTATGTCGATTTTTAACTAGGTTTGGAATGTGAAAACCAGCTTTTATAATTCCATTTTTATTGTAGTCTTTAGTATCAGCATTATCAAGAGTAGTCGCATTTAGAGCATCAATAGTACATGTACTATTACACGAATTTTCGCCTCGTAAAATATTGAACAGAATATCGTAACAATCGGTAACAATTAATTCACGTGTCACGTGCTTTTTTACGTTTAAAAGGCGCCACGAATAAATATTCTGTGGTGAAGAGACATATTCTTCAATTATGTTTTGTGATGCTTCAATTAGTTTATCGATTTTTTGTTTTTGCGCTCGAGATTTACCATGTCCGACCCTTTTAAGATATTTAATTGAATTTATGGCTGAAATTATATACAATTTTTGATATTTGTATTACCACCCGAAGAAACTCGGTGATCTCGATAACTATATTGATTGAATCTGATTCAGTTGCATTATCATCGAGTGACCAAATAAACTTAAATTTGAGTTCTGCATCTGTTTCTGTTTGAGATTCTGGCTTTATTGGTGATTCGGATTGTGTTATTTCTGTCTTAGTTGGCATCCAAATCTGAATAGTTTTTTGTCCAATAAAAATACTACCTTCGCCATATTTTTGTTCAGGCTCATATTTCGGTTCAGGCTTATATTTCGTGTAGACTAAATCGACCCAATGTTCATATTTCTCAAATATCTTTGTTTCTGTATCGTCTTGATCTCTTACTTGTTGAAATGGCGATGAATAATTTTCTTGTAAATTCTTTAGCCGTTGTTCGTCTGTTCTCGTTTTTATTCCCCAGTAACATTCAATATTGATCACATCAAAAATGTTTAATATGAATCTCCGATTGTATGGTTGATTATTATCCTGTTCTTCATTTTTACTTGTATACAAATCTTTCGGTAATTTAGAGTCTGCAGAACTATTTGATAAGAGTAGTATATTACCAGCTGAACCAGTAATTGACCAATGAGAGAGATTTGGATGACGACCATAATGAATTTCAACGTGTTCATGTTCTTTCCTGCTGATCTGGTTTTCCCATTGCATTAAATCCCAAATATATTACACAAATTTATTTTCAGCTTCTTTGTTGATTTCAACGTAAATCATTATTTTTTGATCATTATCAAAGAATCCTATAAACCTGATAATTGCATTATCCTTATTTGAAAAGCTACGTTCAGTGATTTCCAATCAAGTAAAGGCGAACTGTATTGTCATCAAAAGAGGCAGCGAAATAACATTCGTTTTTGGAGACAGTACAAACAAGAGATTTGATGTTCTTTTTTCTTTTTTCTTCTGGACAAACAAATGTAATTTCTAAATCACCAGTGTCAAGACAATAACAATCAATCTGGTTATTATATAACCTATGGCAAAAAGATGATTTCCTGTCATGCAATTATTGAAATACGAAAGTGCACCATTCCCTTGGTCCTGAATTTGTTGCATTTCAACTGGTAATAGAACGGGTTGCGTATTGATAAAAGAAGTTAGCTTATACATATGCTTAGCGATAAAAGAAGCTGAGTTATTAATAAAAGAATTTAAATTGCTTTCGGATAAAAAGACTTCTCTTCTAAGGAAGGATCTCTTTTCAACGGAAACACAATGAAATCGGAACCAGTCATCACTACGAGATTTGATTGATTGGTAAATTGCGTTATACCAGCGACAGGGAAATTGTATTGATATGTTGGTCCATAGTTATTGTTCTTACTTAATAAAAGGCATAGAGTTTCGTTGGCAACGATTAATTCGTCAAGACCACCAGCATGTTGAAATTCACTGATCTTTGGTTTGATATCGTCGGGTTCTCTTTTATGGTGTTTTTTCTTGTTATTTTTCTTGAAAAATTTTCGGATTTCGTATATTGACACGGCTATAAAAATGGATCCATTTTTCGTAGGATTTGATATTGCTAATGAAATAGAGTAATTTGTCTGCTCTAAGATCAATATCTCTTCTAATTCACTATTGCTGTTAATTGGAAAGTCTGTTACAAACTTCGGTTCCATTAGAATATTCGCCACTCGAAATATCATATAATATTAAGTTCATATGACCTGTAAAAAATTACGGATGACCAGATTTTGGTAAATCTTTTACAGAACCAATAGTTTCTATTTCTTTTAAGTTGGATAACAGAATAATTTCTTTTGATACGATATAGTATATTGAATAAAAAAATTAAAATTTTAAAAGTAAAATTTTTTATTAATAGCAAATTAATATTTTAATATTTTGTGTCAAACTATAATCTATTATTATTTAAATAAGATTATAAAAGTAATAATTTATAAAACTAGTTTAGAATTATTAATTAAGTAATTTATATAGAACAAAATTATTGATATATCTCACAATTTCTTAATGACTTAAATAAATTTACTGAATACATTAGTATATATTATTATTAATTCAAAAGTAAATAATAATTTACAACTTTTTATATTTAACTATCTTATTAATTTGTATATTTTCTTATATTTTTTTAAATATTCTATTTTTTGCAAAATAATTTCTCAAGTAAATATTCAATATTCAAATTTAATTTAAAATTTTTCTTTATAAATATTGTTATTAATATAATTATTAAATATAAATTAATCTATTCTTTTTCTCAAAATTCAATTATTAATTTATTTAATAAAATTTTATTAGTAATATTATTTATATAATATATAAATAGATTCAAACAAAAAATATTATAATACAAAAATGAATATTTATTAATAAGTAATATAATATATAAAAAAAATTACAGTCAAACCTCTCTAAATGCATGTTCTATAAGTGCACACTCTCTATAAATAAACTTTTAAGTTTGGTTTCAAGCTTGTATTATAGTACTAAATGCACACTCTCTATATTCTATACATATAGTAAATTTTTAAATAAATATATTTAAAATATCTTTGTAAGTGCACTATTGCATGATTTTTAATATTGATCAATAAAATTTGAAAATCATGTATAACGTGAAAAAATAATAAATTAATGAATCACTATATTGTGATTCTTCATTTTGTATTCTGATAATACCTAATTTTCTTGTTAACATAACCTAATTTTAGTACATAAGGGAGAATTTTTGTGGATAAAAAATTAATAAAATTAATTTTTGTAATTATAATCATTCTGAGTTTGTAATAAAAAATTAATTTTTAAAAAACAGATAACAAGTTTCTTTTGTATGTCATTTATTAATAATGTCAAAAAATTACTTTAACAAATACTCAAAAATATGAGCTATATGTGACAATAAAAGAACTTATCTTGAATATATAAAATAAATGAAAAATTAAAGAATTTACAATTATCTGAATCTTTTAAACCAAAGAAAAATAATTTTATAAGTTCAAAAGCTAAGCATTATAAATTTGTTACCATTCCAGAACTTGAATTGGTACTAAAGAAATTTATATTAATTTATCAGTATTAAACTATTTTAAGTAATGCTATAATAATTGAAAAAGTCAAATTATTAGCAAATAAACTTGGAGTTTCTAAAGATAAGTTACAATTTTTTCTGAATAACTACAAAAATTTAAAAATAAATAAAATTCATGAAAAAAAGCTTTATATAGAAACATTTTCTATTGATTAAAATATTGTTGAATTCTTATTATTATTACAGAATATATATATTAAATATTCTCTTAACTATATTTATAATATAAATGAAACTGAATTTTTTTACTGGTGAGTTTTTTAATTTTTTAATTATTATTATATTAATTTTTTATTATATTGCAAATTAGTACTGGATCAAACTTTAATAATATCTTGCTGGATACAAAAAAAATAAAGAGCATTTTTCTATAGTACTATATGCAAATACTAATAAATTCCATAAATTAAATTCTTTTATAATTAGCAAATATACCAATTTTCAATATTTTAAAAATATAAATCTTAAGAATTTGTTTATAATATATTAAAGTAATACCAAGACTTGGATGTTTATAATTTTTTTCAAGAGTAACTTTATGAATTTAATTATTAAATCTTTTAAAAGTATAATAATATATTCTTTTATTTTTCAATAATTGTTCCAGATATATTATAGCAGATTTAATTCTTTAATATATAAATATATATTTTTCTCTTCAAATATAATTTCAAAAATATAATTAATAGATATAAAAATAATTATAACTTTTAAAAAAGCTTATTATTATTTTTATTTTTGATTAGTATTTTCTTATAAATATTATTGATAGTTTTAATTTAGTAATTTTTTATAAAAGAAGTATATATTTTAGCTTAAAAAAGTCTATCAAAAAAGTCAAGCCAAGTCAAGTTTTTATAAAAATATTAATGACTCAAAAATAAACCCCTTTAATAATATATACATATTAAATTATAAGAAGATTTTTTAAGTTACTTTTTAGTATTTAATAAATACATATTATTATTTTTAATTATTTATTTTATTTCTCTTATTTGACTTGAAATATGTATTAAACACATAAAAAATATAATAAAAGCAAAAATTAAGTAAAATAATGACAATATAAATATTTTAATAATAAAATATTTATAAATATATTATTATAAATTTGTTTATTAATTAATAAATTAACTTACAAACTTGAATTTAGATTAAAACAAATAAATTAAATATATTTAAGTTTTATACTAATTTCTATAAAAATTATAATAATTCGAATAAAAAATTTGAATTTAGATTAAAAAGAAAGTTAAATAAATAAATTAAATATAAAAAAAGAAAAATTATAAAAGAAATTGTAAATAAAAAATTGCAAATTATAAAAAAAATTATAAATAAAGTTATAATTAAATTATAAATAAAGTTATAAATAAAATTATAAATAAAATTAATTAGTAAACTTGAATCTGAATTTGAAGAAAAAATTAAATAAATAAATAAAATATTAAAAGGAGAAAAAAATTAAAGATAATATTTCAATTAATTGTAACTTGTAATATTCAATCAGAAAATTGTAATTTAATTATGATTAATTATAATAGTCAATTAGAGAATTGTAATTAAGTTACAACTAATTGTAATCTTATCTTTAAAAGAGATATCTGAGTTCTATACTATATTAACTAATATAATAAATAACTAAAAAAATAATTAAAAAAATAAGTATATAAAAAAAAAATTAAAGAAATTATAAAAAAATGTTAGATAAATATATATTTAAAAAAGTGATTATAAAAGAAAGAATAATACTAATATTTTTATATTTATATTATTATTTTCTAGTATTTTTAATATTATTATAATAAAATAAAATTATAAATCAAGTTATAATAAAGATTAAATATAAAATAATAAAATAATTATTTAAATTATTAAAATATAATTATCAAAGCTAAAGTATATTAAGAAAAACTATTTATTTTTAATTTAATATATATAGTCAAATCTCTTTATAGTTATCACTCTCAGAAAGCAAAATTTGATAATTATAGAGAGAATGTAATTTTTTTATTATATTTATATATAAATAGAAAAGCAAAATAGAGTAACTATAAAGAGATATAACTATAAATAGATATAACTATAAGAGATTAACTATACTAAAAAAAGTTTATTCAGTTTCAACTTATTAATTTAAGATAAAAAATTATTTTTCTTTAATTATTATAAATATCAAAAGTAATTATATAATATTTATATTATATAATATAATAATAACAAATATTTTTATAATATTGTAAATATAAAAAGAAAAAAAAATATAAAAAAGATAAAAAGTATAAAAAAAGTAGAAAAATAAAAAATATAGAAAGAATAAAAAATAAATTAAAAGAATATTTTTATATTAATAATTAATAATAAATAAATATATAAATAATTAAATTTATTTATTATTTTATTATTTTTTTATTATATTAATTTAGAAAAGTTTATAAAAATTAAATTAAAAAAAACTTATTTAATTATATAATAGTTTAAATTATTTAAATATATAAATATTATTTTTATAAATATAATTTTTGTTTCTATAAAATCTTATTATTTGAATTTATAATTATAAAAATATTAAATTAAGTTAAAAAATAAGTTATTTAATATAATTTATTAATTTAAATTAATTTAAATTAAATTTAATTAAATATATAAATTTATTTTATATTTTAATATTATTTATTTATTTTAATTTAATATATTTTTTATACATATTTATTATTTTTAGTTTAATCTAATTCTTTTTTATTTTTTTAATTAAAATATAATATATATTATTACTATTTTTATTGATATTAAGTTTTTAATATATTAATCACGTGTTTTATTAAGATAAGAGTAAAAAAGATTAAGTTTTTATTAATGGGAGAGACTAAGATTTATCACTAAAGGTAGGTAATGTGTGTTCTTGTTGTGATGAGCTAGAATGACATTTAATAACTTTACTAAGTTTTGTATATTATTTAAAATTTCAAAAGTAATGATACAAGTAATAAGTTTTATTAAGCAATTGTTTTTTAAGTCAATAACAATGGTTTATTATAAGTGATCTATCTTTCAAGATTAAAAACCAATACAAATATAATTTTATAAATTATTCAAAGTTTTTATTAAACAAAAAACTGATTAACTATCTAACTTGATTTACTTTTCAACTTGATTCTGATTTTAAGCTAAGATACATGGTATATTTATATAAATTACATGTTATACAATATAACTAGTTCTATTGTTGTTGTTATTAAGCTAATTAAACACGAGTATTATTGGTGTTTCTAGTATTAATACAAGTGTTGATCTCATTGTTATCATTGCTGTCATTGCTGTCATTGCTGGTGTTAACACAAACTTAAGAACCAATAATATCTAACATATAATTATCCAATAAAATAATAACTATCTAAAAATAACTATCCAATAGAAATACTAATAAATATAATCCAATAATAATTAATATAAATCTTATCCAATAAGATTATTCGTTAAATGTCATATCATGACAATATTTGACATTACTATAAGTATTAAATTGATATTAAATTAATATAATTATTAAGTTATAATTTAATATAAGTATTAAAAAGATATTAAATTATAAAGAGGATAAGTATTATATATTAAATATATATTAAATTACAATCAAATCTCTCTATAGTTACCACTCTTCAGAAAGCAAAATTTGGTGATTATAAAAAGAATGTAACTATAAAGAGATTTTTTTACTATGTTTATATAAATAAAAAAGTAAAATAGGGTGACTATAGAGAAATGTGACTATAAATGTATATAACTATAGAGAGATTTAACTGTATATAAAAGTTAAAAATAATATTAAACAAGATATGAAAAAGATATTAAATATTATAATATTAATTTTTATGTGTAATAATAATATTAATTCAGTATTATAATTATGTAAAAATAAACATTATAAATTATAGTAATAATATTTATACTAAAATTATACTAAAAATTATAGAATTATAAAATTTATTATTGTTATAGTAATAATATTTAGTTAACAATTAATTTAATTATTGTTATTGTTTTTTATTTAAATTAGTTTCTTTATTTAATATAGATTAAAAAAAAGATTCAGAAATTATTTCAAGTTATCAATATAATTCTTTTTTATTATTATAATCTAAATAATTTTTGATTAATTAATCATTATTATATAAATATTTATTCAATTTAGTTAGATTATTTTTTAATTCTTCAAAAATAATATGAAAAATTTGTTAATCTTTTTAGTTAAATATAAAGATGCTTGTCTAAACTCTTTCAAAAAAATATTATCATAATTTTAATGGATTATATACTAATTATTAATTAAAATTTTGATATAATTTTAATTACAACAGGTTTTAAAATTTGTCAGAATTTTGACAGGCTATTTACTAATAGTTTATTATAATTTTAACAAAATTTTGATAGTCACTAAGAAATTTCAGCAACCAATCTTAGTTAAATATAGTTTTTTTTAACTT